TGCTCTTGTACAATACAAGGCCAAAAGACTGTGTGTCACTTGCACCAGAATAAGCATATTCTGGTTTCAAAAGCAAGAGCAGGACCACTACTGAAGTGCTTCTTCCCTCTTTTAAATTTTGTTATTATTATTTTGTAATCTCATGTGATGCTTTGGTATTAGAAGTGTGCTGCTTTCTTCTTTTTTAAAACAAACTCCATACCCTCTCAGGATAGGTATAACTTAAGAAAATAAATATTTAAGTTATTTTGGCTTATGTTTGCAGGCTTCTTGCCTTCATCCTTGCCTTTTGCCAACAGCTCCTGACGCGCATAAAGCCTGCAGAATGTAGTTATTGTTACTTGCAGGCTGTGACAGTGCAGGCCAAATACTTGGGAATGGCTTAAGCTATGTGGATATCCAGGATCCGAGAGCTGCATTTGCAGATAACTTGGTTGCGGGAGGTAGCTGCTGAGTGGATAAAAGTTCTGAATTATTGATGTTACTTTGCAATTAATTCGAAAGGCTAATGCTAAAGTTAGCTTAATGACGGAGAGAGAAGTTGTATTTAAATTAGCCAGCAGGATTAGACAGGGGGTTTTGTGTAGTAGGAAAACACTGTTTCTGTTCTGAGACTTGTTCTTTCAAATAAACAAGCTGAATACCAGCCATCTGGAATGTTTGTATATCTATGGCTTCATTTAAAGTTCCTTTTAAAGCTGAAGAAAATAGGGTATGGAATAGATTCTTCTTCCCAAAGCTTATCATTAATTCATCACCTTTTTACAGTCAGGCTGTGATTAAAGCTGCAAACCAGTAAGTAACTGTGTAGGCAGAAACTGGTGTCCGGGTAGAGTAGAGGAGTGCTGCTAGTGGTGTTCATTGATTTTTCCCTAATGTGTTTCAGTCCAAGTAAGCTTTTGGCAAAAACTTTAAACTACGCTATTCTGTCTGGTTTGTTTTGATTGAGGGCTCCTTCAGTCACAGCAGATCTACTGTGAGGCAGTGACAGGTAGCTGCGTGCAGTAACCTTTTTCCAACAGCAGAGCTTGATCGGAAAAGGAAAATCAAAAACCTGGGTTGGAGAATTATGGCTGATGTTAGCAAAACCTGTGCTGAGTTCTTCTCGAGTTGTGGATCTCTCTGCAGACCCCAAACTCTGCTACTTTGGCTTCAAACCAGATTGGTCATGAATGCCAGGAACTGAATTTCTTGGCCCTCTGTCTTCTGCTATCTGAAGCCTGTGTGGAGGATGGCTAAAGGATAGGATTACAGCCATAACCTTAGAAAGTGCACGGTTAAGATGAATTTTTCTCCAGAGCTTTTGTTTAGAACAAACGTTCTTTTTTCCAGTTTTCATCTGCACTCTGCAAACAGCTTCAGAAATTTCAACACCTGAACCCGTGCATTCAAGTATCTTTTCCAATTTCATAGTGTTTGTAGTTTTATGAACGTGTTAGAAGATGTGCGTACCCTGTGCCCCAACACAAAGATGAAGGGTACCGATTTTTTCCCTTGCTCCTGTTCCCCCCTGCTTTCCTGACTGCAATTAGATATAGTTGCAGTATCATTATAGCTTGACTGAAGGGTGGAATCATCTTAGTCTTGTAAGCTTATTCTAAACTCTTTCCAGCCTGGCAGCTCGAAAGCATTCTGAATGTTTCAGCAGTTTTATTAGACCAGGCTCAGAGCTTATCTGATGTTGCCTCCTCTGTTACAGTGCATAGATATGAAATACCATTCAAGATGATTCTGTAGTATAAGAGAGGAGGGCGAGGTTTTGGCCCAGCATACTGCAATGTTAACTGCTTTAGCCACCAGCTGCTGAATAAAAAGATCTTTTGGTATGCGTCTTGCACAGGTGCGTTTAGCACCACTGTTAAATTCAG